CTGTTTTATCTATGACATCCTAGTTTATAGGCTAGGATCAGTTTTGCCATTTCATTTTCTTAGTCAATCAGCATCAGAAACAATATGAAGAGTCCTAAGTATTATCATATGTATTGCTTTTATTGAAATGCATCTGGTATTTCAATGGAATTTTGTACTCTGTTGTAACTGCTTTGTCTCTAGTATGTCTATGTTAACATTCAGGTCATGCATGTGGACTCATATAGTAAGAAAACTTCATTTGATGAAAGATTCTCAGGGGTTGAGGGTTTTTGCTAGTCATGGTTCATTCATGGCTACTCTTCTCCCAGTGGTCGTGTCAGCAGCATACAGCAGAGGTTCTAGAATGAGTACTCAGTTTATCTTTTCTGAGGGATATTCCTCAGGTGCATCCCACTGTTTTTTTAATCTTCTCTCCATTTTTTCTCTAGTTAAGCTGGGAATTAATATGTTTTTTATCTGCTTTCTAGTAGTATGAACTATGTGAACAAGGATTTTAATTTCTTCCTGTTTATTTCCTCTATGCCTTGTAAAGTTTAGAGACATCTATGTGTTCAGAAGATTGATCACTGTTTTCTTTGTTCTCCTTCCAGCAATCATATTATTTATCTTAGAGCCTTCTCCTGGTTTTGGGCATTTTTCCATGTCACTACAGATACACATTATGGAGTTATGATGCCACCTCCCTCCTCGTTCTTGTTGAAAACTGCTTTCCTGAATAATTCTTTGTACACGATGGACCTACCTTTGTTCAGTTGTCCACTGTGCCAGAACACCACCTTGTGGAAAAGGAAAGCAGAGCTTAATTTTGCTTGCTTAGGATTGAAAAGACCTGAACCTCCAGATCCTTCTCTCTTACTTTTGTGTTTTTCAGTTACCTTTCAGAAGCTCTTAGTAATATTTGCCATTGCTGGTTCTGCCCTTATGAATGACCTTCATGGAATAAAAATCAGAAGGCTGAAAGAACCTTAACACCTTTAGTAGAAGTAGTGAAGTAATGAGAGAGCTTAAAAAGTGCGTTTATTTAATTTCTTTACATTTATTGTTACATTAGGGAGATTATACTGCTTTAATTAAAAGTTACTAGGGTTTTCTGTAATGAACCTAAATTTGCAGCTATTTATAGTTGAGAGAAAATGTTTCCATACAAAAATTTGGCATTCAATGTCCCAAGCTAAATGGTTTGGTTTTCCTTTCTCTATTTCTTTTAAAATACTCTTTGGCTGCATTCTGTTTTGAGGGAAGCTTTTTTTTTTTCTTTTTTTTTTTGTGGTTTTATATGCTTTTTGTGCTTCCTTGGCAAGGCTTGCTACATGGAAAAACAAATTTTCCAGGCTCTTAGTCTTTTATGTCAGCTATTTCCTTTTTGATATTTAAAACATGATACTTTGGTGGTCATTACTTTTTAACAGAGACCCTGTTTTATTCAATAAGCAGTCCCCCCTAAGTATTTGCCGTTAATACTTTATATATATTGTTACATAAAAATAGTTCATATAGTTAAATTTAGTAATTCTGAAACAAAATTGTATACCTGGCATGTTTAGTGGTACTAAAATTGGTACTTGTGTATTTCTGCAAAGTTCACCATTTCTCATACATTTAAAATATGGAAACTAGTTTTCATTTTTCTATTTATTTCTATGTTCTAATTATTATCTGTAGGGCATTTAATACCATACTTAAAGGTGTTGAAATTTTCTAAGTTGGTCTCATTGGTTCAGAAAATCATTCCTTTTACCCAAGGATGTAGTGTACATTTGAAATGCTCCAGTTAGTGTTTGGGGAAATGAGTCCTGCAGTTCATGAAGCCCAAGTCCTTGTTGAGGTCTGATGCCATCCAGGTAGTAAACAGAGAAGTGTTTAAACTCTGCCTAGATTCTTACAGACTTAGTGTGTTCTGTGCATTAGAAGCTTGACTGGTGAGTCAGATGACCTTGAGCCTGGCACAGAATGTGACTAGTGGCTCAGGCAATTTCTTCAGATGTTACTTAAGTAATGTCTAGATATTCTGCAAGTGTGGCACTGTGATCAGAAAAGTTCCTAGAAACTGGAGTCTCCTTTTTCTTCCCAACAGCTTTGTCAAGTACATATTTCTCTCTTGGAGGAATGTCCTAACAGCTAGTTACTGAGTATTCATTCACAGGACAGGTGAGATTCCTTTACTCCTTGGATTCAACTTGGGCCACAGCATAGAAAAATGCTAGAGTCACTTTAGCAGAAGATGGTATACATACTCTTATAGTCTCCAATTTCTTTCTGAGTTCTATCCAGCAGCAATAGACTGTAAAATGTATAAATAGTATACAGGGACCTGAAACTCAGTATTCTGCCTGTCTTTGACTTACTTGTTAACTGAGCTTCAGCAATGCAGCAGAAGAGAAATTATTAGTTATGCTAGGGAGAAGGATGATCAAAATTTGTGAGATGAATAAGAAACTGGCTGAGGAGGAAATAGGAGATAGTGTTGAAAGCAGATTTATTATACCAGAAGGACATTGGTGGTGGAGTTCCTCTGTGTTTTTTAAAACATCTTTCTTCTGTGGCACTAATTATTTTTTTTGAGATAATATATGTTTGCACTAAAATAAGGTAATGATGTTAGTCCAAAAGTTTTCACAAGAAAGTATTAAGGTTTATCTGCTGATAACAGAAGGAGACATTTTCAGTACAACATTGGATGCCACACAGGAGAAACACTGAAGATAGGAGCAATCAATGCACCATAAATAATATTAGATGAAATACAATGCAAATCAAGACTCTTCTGGACTCTGAGCCAAGAAGTTTATTCTAAGGTGTTAGTTCATCAGCTTGAAGAGTGTACAGATTTGTGTATAGTACTGCCTTGAGTTTCTAGTATGTGGGAGTCATTCCCTATGTGGTTGTCAGTGTTGTTCTCACTCTGTGAACAGTGAATTTGAGTTGAGACTGACTAGTGAACAGGAAGGCTGTAGAGAAAATCAGGGCCTGAGAGGCCTGGACTGTGATTCAAAGAGATTGTATATCTGTAATAACACAGACAGAAAATAAAAACCAATAGTTGAATGGCTTTCTGCAATATCCCCTCCAAACTTTTGAGCCCTATCAACTCCAAGGGCTGCAGACATCACCTGACATAGCTGTGTGACCTGTTCTGAAAAGACAAGTGCAGCTCCTGATTTCCACAAAGTTTTGCCACAGTAGACACTAAATAGGGATTTAAAAGATTTGGCCCAGAAAATGAACGCTTTTGCTCTCAAAGTTTTATGGACATTTTTCATGCTCTAAATTATGCTTTGGTTCACATAATGTATTTTAGCTCTCTTTTTATTTTCCAGTCACAGCTTCACTCATAGTACAGCTGTGGCATTTGTCTTGCACCAAGAAGGATCTGATAATCATGAAATAACCCAGATTTATGCCTGTAGTGCTGAAGCAGTGCCATATTTGTGAAAATAACTTAAGAGGAACAATATGCAGCAGATGTGAAGGTTTTACCTTCACATTTAAGTAGGTTTATACTGTCAGTGAGTGTGGGCTTAGCAGGGCCTGACAGAGTTTCAACTTACCAGATGTTCCATGTGATCAAATAGATGCTATACAGCTGTTTCCCATTCTTTTTACCGGGCTCAGATAAATACACAGTAAATGGTCTGAAATATATTTATGGTATTTTGGCAAATCCTGCAGAGAACTGCCCACAGGCACCAAGAATGCAGGGAGAAACCAAGGGTGCTCATAGGCATGCTCATTTTCCATTACTGAGAGGAAATTAGCAGCCATTTGGATGAAACAACCCTGATGATATGAGTCAGAGAGGAATAAAATATGGGGTTTTCCTTTGGTTATGGATGTTGTGAGATTAGTGGCTGTATTTATGGAGCGTCTCCGGTCTGGGGGAGCTGTTGCTCCCACGGGCAGGAGCTGTCCCCCTGTGCTGACAGTGTCACCCTTCCAGTGGTGTTAAACCCCTGGGAGACGTGGTGGATTCGGTGGAGCAGCTGTCCTGCAGGTAGCTTGTGCTAATCCCAGCTCAGGCTTTCAACGCTGGAACAAACTGGTCTGTCCTCAGTACAATACAGAAAACAGGGTATTTCCAGAGCTCCTGGCAAGGCTGCCTCTGTCTCTCCTGTCCATTCCTGAGCATGCACAGTGTGCCCCAAATTAGCCATGGAGTATTTTTTTAAGGGCACACAGCTTTTAGGGTTCAGTCCAGCCAACTGCTCTGAATTGTTTCAGGACTTACGGGCCCAGTTTACATTAACTGCCACACCTGTCAACTTGATTCAATCACAGAGCAGCTAAATAATAAAAAAGGAAGTTTCATTTCCCTTCACCTGCTTTCCTGTTCTCATTTCTCCTTCCCCCTGCTCAGTTCCCCATGCTCTCCTTAGCCCTTTGACCTTACTCTGCTGCCTTCCTTCCCTCCTGTCCCCATCAGCCTCCTGCCTTTCCATAGCTTCTCTTACACCTGAAAAATTCTTATCTATAGAGGCTTTCCTTGTTGTCCTTTAAATCCTTTTTTAAAAATTTCATCTTCTGTCGGAGAAACAACTTTCATTTTTCATTAATAATCTCTTTAACATTTCTTGACTGCTATGTTCTTTTCAGATTTATAGCCAAGTCTTGCAAACGTTTACAGAGAAGTGCCCCTTAAGTTAAATTGAGAACACTGAGTTGCAAGTTTGGAGGACTGGATTGTTGATTGGAAAGATTTTTGAAATGGAAATATTTCTCGCTGTAAAACTCAATGTTCATTTATGGTTCTCTATACATTTTTAATAAACTTTTGTGACCTCAAAGTAGCAGTGGAACATTCATTAACTTCTGTTTTTAACTTTTATTCCTTAGGTCAAGGTATGGAACATGTTCTCACAGATTTTTAAATGTGCCGAGCAAACTTAATGTTGACAATATGACTTTGTACCCAGAATCATATGAAAGCACAAGTACAAGCTGTACCTTTTGATCTTGGTGACCTTAATTGTTTTATTTTTTGGTATTGATTTTTATTTCAGGAACCTCAAGCATCTGGACTGCCTGAGTACATAAAAATTGTAGAAGTTGGGCCAAGGGATGGATTACAAAATGAAAAGGTAACTTAGCGCTTTTTATTTTTGTATGTGCTTTGACATGGATGTTAGTGTTATTTTCATTGTGTTGAACATGTGTATCCTGCTGATTATGTTTCTTTCATTTTTATACTAATAAATATACCTATTTTCATATTGATAACTTTCCTTTGTATTAGAATTTGTATTAGAAAGTCTATTCCTATTTACCCAGCTTTTAGATCATATAATTTCATTCTATACTTGGCTAACTAGCCTTTCTGCTACTCAACATTTATTTTTGCTGGAATTTGTCTTGTCAGTCCATAACATTCTGTCGTGACATAATTGGTAAACACTATGAAACACTGCCTGTCTTTCTAACTTGTGTTTCTGCTTCAAGTGTTAATGTAGAAGGAATGGTAAAATAGGTTTTATCGTGCTTCCTGCTAAAGAGACAAGGAAGAAAAATATTACTCTTTTGATAGCATTTTTTGCCTGAAGAGTGGTAGGGAAGCATGGAAGAAGATTGCAAGAGGTTATAGGGTACGTGTATAGAAACAGTCATCTATTTCCACAAACAGGAGGATAAGCTCACACATATCATTGTTACTGATACCAGAGATGTTAGTTGTATTAGCAGAATAGTTACTGTGCCTCAGCTGTGGAGCCTTTTCCTCCATTTTTTGCTGGTTGCACTGTTAGTGTTTCCTTTGTCAGTTCTTGCTAGTTTGGTGATTGGTTAATAACAAATAATGAGGCCAGATCTATAACCAGTTACACAGGAGTGCTTCCTATTGTGATGGACGAAAATGGGGTAACATCATGTATACTGCCTAGTACCTTCCTTATACTTCCTACTGCCAGGAAACAGTAGAGTTATATTAAAATATCTAAGTGTAGTTCATTCTTCAACAAAAAAAATAGTATTGATTATGTACAGGGAACATTTCACTTACAAAAGTTTCTTATATATGAAATACTTTACTAAAGTATGTCTCCATGTCTATAGGTGATAGTCCCAACTGATACAAAAATTGAGTTAATCAACCAGCTTTCCAAAACAGGCCTGCCTGCAATAGAAGTGACCAGTTTCGTTTCATCCAAATGGGTGCCTCAGGTATGTAAAATCAGCTCCATTCAGAACTATTTCAATTTAAATGCCATTCAATTTATTTGTGTAACATTCAGTTGCAACTAAAGATTTGGGATGGAGACACATCATTAATATAATTTATTGCTGTTCTTACTTCTTTTCTACTCTTCTAAAACTAGTAGTCACTGATGTAAAAAAGAAAAGTAGTATACGTTATTTTCTTTTTTGTCTAAGTGAAATGTAATTTTCCACATTTGGAAATGTGTTTGGGAGATCGAAATTTAGGACTTCTGTATACGTAGTAGTACTTAGTGGCATTGCTTATTTTGGAGTTCTAACACTCTATCAGCAACTACATTTAAATTTTGAAGAATCATAATAATTGGCTTATTGTTTTTCCAGAATTAATTTTTGCATTTGGTAGAATTCAGCAGAAACCTAGCCTTTCTGGAACTGGCAGCAAATACATTGGCATTAGAGTGCCACGTTTCCATTTGAGATTTAACACTGCAAATTCAGGCTTAGTCCTGAAGTTTACTATTTAGCACCTGTTTGTGCAAATTAATTATTTCCTGCAAATAAGGAAATAAATCAATACTTGTGTATGTAATTTAAACTATTTTTCAAGAAATTGCACACTTGTTTGCACAGAAGCATTTGAATACTTTATATTTGACAAGGAGCATACAAGTTATTTACAAATAAAAACAAGAAGTTAATTATTTGAGAAAAATACTTCAATTTTAACAATGTCTACTGCATGTTGAACATCTGATAAAATGTGGATAAAATTTGTCCATTTTAAACTGAGAATACATCCTGGGCCTGGACTGTATTCTCAGCTTTTCTCTGAGAAAAACATAGTACAGCCATGCTAATTCATGAATTATCAAGGCAAATTGTACAACACTCTGAGGAAGTCCTTTGCTTTATTTCAGTGTTGTCAGGGTCACCAGGGAAGAGTCTAGAAGAAGGATAATAGGAAAGATGAAGAGAGGAATGACAGTGCAGAATTTCTTTGGCATCAGTGTGGGGGCAATGAAGTCTTGTCTACTAAAAGGAAACAGGCTAAGTTTTTCTAAGTGCCATCACACTTTGTCAATTACTGCAACAGATAATAATGTAATTTTTTAAATGTTAGAAGAAAATGTCTAAAGCAAAGGTGTATTTCTTCCTTGTTTAATTATTTCCTTTTCCTGTGAGCCATTATGAGTACCAAATTTATCAAATTTATGTCAGTTTAGAAAAAAATGAGTGATCCCTTCTTATCTCAAATTCATTCACTCGGTACTTTGTTTTAATGGTTTAATTAGTATTTAATTTTTTTTTTTAATTTAAAAGATAAGATTGTGTTGCTTTGACAGAGGGTGCAGTCTTGACTTTGTCTTTTCTTTGCTCTTTTTTTATAGGTCATGGGAATAGAATTTGCAGTTATGTTTAGATCTCATTCACTTATTTCTGTTTTTAGTGTTTTAAGTTTTTTATGGTTTCCCATCCACTGTTGTTTTTGGCAAAGATTTTTTTTTTTTACTGAAAAATCTAAAATAAAAAGTTCCACAGTAGCAAGGTGCCATATAAAACAGGATCCCACACCTATAACATAAACAGCCAAAAATTATAAATACCTACTATTTGGAAGCTTATTTTTAAAGAAATTGGAAAAAGAAATATTTTATTACAATTTAAAATTTTATAACATGCAATATGTGCAAAGATGGGATTTTACTTACAGGAAAAATAGCAGTGGGACGGATTTAATGCATAAAATATTATTTGAATCTGCCAGGTTTATACTGGTTGAAAAAGTGTCATTTTGGTTTTCCAGTGTATTTTAAGACAGGCTATAATTGTGGAGAGTGAATTTAGTTCCAGCATTTGCCATTTAATTTGTCATTTGGTTTCAGACATTGTTTTTTGCCCTGAGAAATGTAGCTACTGCTTATATTAAATTAAGGAATGAAATATTGTTCTTAAAAAACTAAGGTGTTAACAGAGGTTTTTTGTGAGATTATCAGATCAGTTTAGTTCACATAGAAGCAAATACAAAAAGTTTTGCGCCATCACTTACTTCCTGATAAGAAATGGGTTGTCTGTGGCTGTAAAACACCTTTTGTACTATACATACACTTCCTTATAGATATACGTTGGACTTATATTTCAAGAGAATGGATTTTTCTAATATTTTTTATCTATCATTTTCATAGAAGGAAGCTGGTGACAGGAAGATTCCAGGTTACAAGTAGTATTCTTAGTTAAGAGTGTGGTATAATTTAATACCATGTATTTAGAATTGTGGTACTGCATAGCTATCAAGAAGGTATCTGCTGAAAATAAGGGGTAATGAAAGTAGTTCATATATCTTTTCACATGGTACTTCTCAAAATACTTTTCACCAGTGTGGAAAGAAACACAAATCCAACTTAATAGTATTTGCTTGAGAGATTTGCTTTTATTTATGCTCATTTAAAATGCACAGTACTTTTTTTAAAACTCAGAATCTTTAAGACATTAAATAAGAGGAATGTGTTTTATTAATTGTATTGTTTTCAGGTGTGCACACCATTGAACAATATTTGTTTTCAAGCCACTTCTTTTAAGAAAATGTGCTTATCTAAGGAATCTGCCTTTTATTAAATGAATAAGTTTCATTCATCTTCTTCGTTAGTACAGAGAGTATATTTAATCTTGAATGTATGAGAAAAATGCAAGAGTATCTTAAAAGGCAGATTTTCTTTTGTGAGGGGAGACTAAGGAAAACAAGTATTCTGATCTTTGCTATAGTAAAGAAGTATTTTCTTCTTTAGAAAGAAACTTCTGAATATATTAAAATATTGTGGACATCTGGATTTTGCTGTATTTTTAAAAATAGATGTGTTTAGTCTTATCAAATGTTCTGATTACAGTGTTGAGTAATTCAGGTTCTGTTATGCTTAACATTGTGAAGTTGCATTTATCAGAGTGATGAAGTTTTCAAGATTCCTGTTTTTAAAATCTCAGTTATTCTGTTAATTCCACTTATTAAGTCCAGTGAAGCAAAGTTAAAGTTGCTGTAACACTTCATGAACAGCATGATCATAAGCCTGTCAATTTATGCTGTGAATTATGTTTTTCCAGATACACACAAAGGAACAATGTAGATGTCTTAGTCCCAGTTCTACATTCACATAGATCTTAAAAGATTGCAACACAGTCAAAAGAAATTAAAAAATAATATTTGTACAAAATCAGTTTAACCCTCTTGTTGTTAGACTTTTTGTATGAACTGTAAAAGTAATGAAGGCAAAACCACAGTCTAATCCAATTTCTAGTTAGCTATATAAAATCAGAAAATAACTGCTGATCAATACAAATCATTTATATATTTTAGATGGCAGATCACAAAGAAGTAATGAGGGGCATTGAGCGGCATCCTGGAGTCCAGTATCCCGTTCTCACACCTAATCTTCAAGGTTTTCATTCTGCTGTAAGTGCCTTCATAGGTGTTTTCCACATTTACCTCTTTTATGTTTCAGACACTTTAAGTTCAGTACCAAAAGCTAGCTATTTAGTGTCAGAAATATGCTATAGTTTTTTTCACTGAAAACTCCTAATTTTCTTTATGAAATATAGGGAAATTCACAGAATGATGTTAAGCTCATAGTTTACTGGAGGCATTGACCAGGAACTTTGTAACTTCTTTTAAACGATACTTGTATATAAAGGGCAAGACAGTTCTTTCTTTTTGACTTGTTGACCCTGCAAAGTTTCTGAGGAGTGTCTTGGTGGAAAATACTGAAGAAGGATGAGGAAAGACTCATTTAAATGAAAAAGATTTATAGCAATTCTCGATTTCATATTGGGTTTGGTTGGGTTTGAAAGTTTAAATTGTTTCCATTCTTCCAAAATAGTCAAAATTATAGACTTGAAGTGTGTAAAAGTGTGAAAACGGAGCAGTTCAGTCGTCTTAAAATATATACATTGTTAGTCAAATCTTTACACATTTTTTTTGTTTTCTGAAAATATTTAATGCTTCTGCTTTTGTCCTGATGACAAGCTGTATTTGGAAAGCATTCTGCTTGGTGAACATTTGTTGTCTATTGTGTCATTCAGTTCCTATACTGAAATATCTGTTAAAACCAAATCCTGTGCATAGTTGACTTAATTATCAACAGTCAGATTATAGTGCTACAAATTTGTCTCAATGGTAATATGAGTTTAATTAAGTGTGCTTTATCTCTATACTTTATTTAAGGGAAAACAATGAAAAAATGGTTGTAGATTATTCCTGCATTCTTCCTTGCTGATGTTTTTTCCCCTCTCTTTGAAAGAATATCTGTTCCTATATGGGTTGCTGAATTTTAGACAGTATCCTGCAGAGGCAAAAAGTAAAGGCAAAAGCTCCATACTTTCCCGTTGAACCAAGAGTATTATTCTGACTGGAGAGTGAGTTAGCTATTCTCCTAAGCTAAAATGTTTTCTTCTCCTATCAGTTGCCTTTCAGCCTTCCAGTTTGCCTCATGTTAGTTGATTTACTGAGGTACTGAGTACAAGCTCAGGCTAATTGCGCCTTCAGTGAAGTCATCACATTTACACATTTTCTAGACTGATGTTTGCTGAGACTTCTCTCATGTAAACATTTTCCATGTTATCCTTATCAACTGTGACACCAAGACCAGTGGAGCCCTTGATCCTAGAGCTGACTCTAATAAGGAAATCCCTGCTGGTTATTGTTGCTGCTCCAGGCATATGCACACAGAGAACTTTCCCAATCATGAGAATGACTTCCTGGTGTTCAGGAGTAACAGACAGTGTGACAGTTGTTGTATGACCTTTTCCTTTTCTGAAAAGATGAATATAAGTATTAATCATTGTTTTTGTATAGTTGGCTCATGTGAATTCTTACATCTTATTACCTTTATCATTCATCACTTTAGAAACTTGTTTAACTAATTGCTAAGAAGAGGCAGAAAATATGCCATAGTGAATGATCTCAAAATTTGATTCAATCTGTCAGTATGCTATTATCTTAAAAAAATGTGATTAAAATTAGATTTTAGTAATGGATAATATACTTAATATACTTTAAAATTTTAGAATGTTGTATAGAATTAAATGCTTAATCTAATACTTTAATATAGTGTTATGATTCTGTTTTCTTGAAATGTGTTTTTTAGATTGCAGCAGGAGCTACAGAAGTCTCAGTATTTGGTGCAGCATCTGAATCTTTTAGCAAAATGAATATTAATTGTTCAATTGAAGAAAGCATAGAAAGGTTTGAAGAAGTCACTAAATCTGCGAGGAATATGAATATTCCAGTGCGTGGGTAAATATTCAGATTCTAAAGTAATACAGAGTTGCTGGAGTCATTGTTACATGGATTATTTGGTACCAGTAGAAAAGTTTATTACCAAATTTTTACATTGTAGATGAATTGAAATAATAGTCTTTACTGTGATTTTTATGTTTAGGATTGAATATATTTTGTTATTTTTGCATTTTTAACTACTGATGGTGACTCTTTTGCTGTGGAAATTGAAAAAAGAGAGCTGTGTTTATGAGGTTTTATTATACAAATTAATTTTTACTATCACAGATGACAGAATACAATTTTTTTGTGCTGTGGAGAATTCGTAATGCAGGCACCTTACAAAAATGCCCTACAAATTTCTATTTTATTATAGAATTGATAATATATCACTACATACATTGCAGCATCAAGGTATAAGAACGACAAAACAAATATACTCCTAAGAAAAAACTTATTCTGTATATAAGTTATCCTGAAAACCCAGGCATTGAAATTTTTGAGTCTCCAGTGCATGAAACTCTAGAATTTATTTTTTAACTTAAAATTATCATGAATGGTACTCACTCTTGAACAGTATCAATTTTTGTTTCCATTTTCTTTTGCATCACAGGTAAGAACTACTTACCTAAGACCTAAGAAGGTCCTCGTGAATGCAGAAGGGCTCACATAGATTCAAGGAGAAACTCGATAGTTAGATTCCTTGAGGATTAGTAGTAGTGTAAACTGCATCATGCTCAGAAAATACTTGGACTTGAAAATATGTAGAGGTAGATACCTCAGAGACTTAAGTACTTGAAAATCAGTCTGGGAATAAATCCTGGTTTCTCTCTTTGCTCCAGAAGTAGTGATGCAGGTAATGCTGCTGCACACTTTTTTTCACAACAGTGTGTGGTTGGTTGGGCATCTGCCCTAAGAACGGGAAATCTGACATCTAGTTATACCTCTGTCCCAGAGGATCACAGAGCAGCAGTATGGTTTAGGTTGAGAGAGACCTCTGGAGATCATCTTGTCGAGTCCAAGGATTTGTGGGTGATGGTTGGCAAAAAACTCAACCTGGGCCAGCAGTGTGTGCTCACATGAAAGCCAGTCGTGTCCTGGGCTGCATCAAAAGCAGCATGGCCAGTAGGGCAAGGGAGGGGATTCTGCCCCTCAGCTCTGCTCTGATGAGATGCCACCTAGAGTGCTGCATAGAGTTCTGGTTCCCCAGCATAAGAAGGACATGGAACTGTTGAAGCAAGTCCAGCAGAGGACTTACATGTGGCATGGAACATGTCACTTAAAGGTCAGGCTGAGAAAGTTGGGGCTGTTCAGCCTGGAGAAGAGAAGGTTTTGTGGAGACCCTATAGCAACCTTGCAATATCTGAAGGGAGCTGCAGGGAAGCAGACAAAGAAGGACTCTGTCAGGAACTGTAATGATAGGACAAGGGGGGAAAAGCTTCAAGATGAAAGAGTAGGTTTCAGTTAGATACTAGGAAGACATTCTTCACTGTGAGCATGGTGAGGCACTGGCACAGTTCACCCAGGGAAGTTGTGGATGCTCTGTCCCTGGAGGTGTTGTTCAAGGCCCAGTTGGATGGAGCTCTGATCAACCTGATCTGTTGGAAGGAGGTGTTCCTGCCCATTTCAGAGGCTGGAACTAGATCATCTTGAAGGTCCCTTTCAATCCAAACCATACTGTGCTTCTATGATTTTGGTATACACATAAGAGTCAACCAAGGACAACTCAGAAATGCTTGGGTTCTTTTTCGTTATCCTGGGTATATTTCATGGGGAAAATCATTAAAGGGAGAAGTAAGGACATTCACTGCATTAAGAAATAGTAACTTGTACCAGAGTTTAAATACTTTTTCCAGTTGCTAATCTGCCAGTAGAGTCATGATTTGCCTTCCTGAGCAACTTCTCATATAAGAGGTCTGTTGTTTAAAAGCTGTCTGCCACCACTGTTCATCACATTTTTTTCTAAAACTAAATTCTGAGCTGAGAACATAACTAGCAATTTGAGTTCTCCAGGAGGATTAAGTTCAGGTATGCCTGAACTTTAGGTCCCAGACAGGTGTGGTTAAAGGAACAGGCAGTCAATTCAGACAAAACAGCAAGTGTATAGCCACAAACCTTATCCACTTGTGAACATTTTTACACTAAACGTCTGTTTTCTGTTTTTTTCAGATGTCTAGGCATGTCAGGAGATGTTTTCTGTTTCATATTCCTGCATTTAACTAATAAAATTCAACTAAATGGTACAATATAGGCAACCAAGCATCTAGGAAATCCTCAAAGCCCTGTGTATTGTTTTTGGATAATTATGGAGGATGTCAAAAAAGGGACTTTGCAACTTGTCCATAACATGTAAATTGTAGGTGATGAAGAAGCCCCTGTGGTGTACTGTAGATTGATTTTCTGCTCTAAAATATTAACTTCTGTGCAATAGTTTTCACATGTTTAAAAAAATGGCAGCCTGGTGCTTCCCCGCCCTGGATTATGTCTATTGCATTTGTAACATACCAGAAGCAATTATTCTGGCACTGATACACTGATGTGATGTAAGTAATTGTTCCCATGACAGGATTCTACAACATTCCCAAACATTTATTGTCTACTATCTGACAAACCATGTGGCTTTTATTTTTCTTCACACAGAAAAAGAAAAAAAAAACCAAAGGAAAAAAAAAGAGAGAGAGAAAGAAATAGGAGGCAGATAATGGCAAAAGAGAAGAACAGCACAGCAAAAAAAAAGTAATAAAGAATGAAAGCAAAGCAAAGAGATAAAAGGGAGGAATATCAAGAACCAGGTGGTGAAGGAAACAGAACAGTACAGAGATGAAGAGAAAGGAGATAATTGAACTCAGGGAAAATACAATCAGATTATATTTTGAAAGTGCTTATTTTGTGTATCCAGTACAGATATCTCTAATTTCAGTGCAATATGCAAACATAAGATAAACTTCATACAGTAAATGCAGGAAGATTTTATTGAGTCTGTCATGCCAGGTGCAGTATGTTACAGAACACTTCAGCAGAGAACTGCTTAATACCAGATATTCTACAAAGTTATTCAAAGTTGTGAATGCAAATTATGTTAAATGCACTCGAGCTTTCTTCCTTAGGTCTAGGAAAAGTGAATCATTCAGAATTAAATAGCCATTAACAGAATAATTCAATTTGTGGTGATGCTTTTTCCTGGTCTTAGAAAATTGAGAGCCAGACACCACTTCACCGAGGTGGGATGTGCCACAGTACACACACAATAGATCGTGTATACAATTTTATAGACCTTACAAATTAGCATATCTAAAGAGGATGCCCCAATGGGAGGTCTGGATGAATGGCATGGTATTCCCCCATCTGTGAAATTCCCCCCTGGATGGGCCAAATCTGTAGTTTGCAGGAAAAGTTCTAGACAGGACCTTGCTATCCCAAGATAGCCTAGGGCTTTCCAGTCTTCTACTACAAGGCCTTTAGGATGTTTGTTCTCCTGGCCTAACAAAATACTAGGACTATGCTAAGTTATCAGACATGAAGAATTACAAATGTGCATGCTAAGAATATTGAGGATACATAAAAGTTTATATAAAAGGTATATAAAAGGCAAAAAATCATCAGTGGGATTGTAATAAAGGATCCAAATAGAGAGGATATGTATATAGAATGGAAGCTACATTTATGCAAATGTTACATGTATCTTCCTCACATTATATTAGTTTGAGAATTAATTTATCCAGTAAAAAATAGAGGTTGAGGCACAAGAGATAAGATGATGTTACACTTTGACAAATCGAAAAGTTTAGGAGAGATCTGGTATTTTTCCAGGGTTTATCTAATATAACTCAATAATAAAATAGCAAATATGCTAAAAACCTGCTGAGAATCTAAATTGCAGAATATAGAGCCTTATTTCATAACAAAAAACCTTTTCTGAGGCAATAATTCTCAGTATCCACTGAACATGGATTTCAGTATATGAAAATACCGGAAAGAAGGTTTTGAACACTGTAAGTTAGAAGATAAAAGGGAACTGATTATCCCCATACATTTGGATTTTGAGTGCACTTCTAAAAAATCCATCCCGGGAAGATTTTGAGGAATCAAAATAGTAATTAATGAGAAATAAAAGAGTACTATGGATCAGACTCTAGACAAGTATGTTTTAGAGAATAATTGCAAAGTATTGTGACACTTTGTCTTGTGACCCTCCCTGTTCATACTCATTCAGATGCAGTTCTCATGGGTTGCAGAGTTACAAGAGTCAATGAGAAGCGTTGAGACAGAATGATTGCTTAGAAATAATAATCAAAAGGGGTTGTTTAGTTTCCATATACTTCACTACATTATTTAAAGCTCTGGTGTATTTTCTTGAGTAGAATTCTGAAGATCAGAAAAAAATAGCAGAAGCCTGAATATAGAAATAGAGGATTCACAAGGACTTCTTATTTTAATAGTAGATCTCCCAGCAGTTGAAAAAAGGTCTAGAAGGTGGACTTAAAACTTTTAATTAGTTAAAAAATGAAGAAATATACTTAAAGAAGAAGCATCAATTTTGAATTCTAAATCCAGGAATTACAACGTTTCAGATGCTTGTGAGGAGGGAAGTTGTGGAAGCAGTCTGACATTTCAGACTTAATTCTAGAAAACTAAACTGTGATTTTCTCTGGTAAAAAGCCTGCACTATAGGGAATTCATTAGTACTTGGAAGAAAGTAGTTCATTGGTTCCCAAATATTGCAGAACATTTGGAAGACTTCCAGAGTTATTCATTGTATTTAGTGAGATAAAATACTGGGTTTCTCTTCCTCAATGAAAAAATTAAAATATAATTAGAAAGTAAAACTTAAACTAAGATTTCACAGAAATATTCAGTGCAATCCAGGTGACTTTTTTCCTGGGAATAAAAAAAAAATCAAAAAATAATTAGCTATTAAAGTCTGTGATTTATGATTCCGTATTTAGCTGCTGCTAAAGAGGCTGCTTTTAGTGACAGATACAATAAATTACATTTTGGTATCCTGATTCCATGCACTC